CTGGATACTTGGCTCATTCCTTCTCGTGGAGGAAAGCACTCGAGCCATGTAAGCTGCATTCCGTGTAAGAAAGTCGTACGCGGGGATACGGCATTCTTGGCTTTTACGATTCGTATGGTCGATAAAATCGTGACTTGCAGTCCGACTTCGGCCCGTCGCGTCGGCCGGCGTCGACGTCGCGATGAAGAAAAAGAAAGGAGTGTCAATGAGCTTCGATCTTTTTTTTCGCTGTCGATCAAGGGAGCCTCTATTCTAGCCGCGATTAATATCCGGCCGTGTCTAGGCCGGAGAAAGCAATTTTGAACGTTAATTGTTGAAAAGTTATAATATCACGGCCCGTATGACTATTATTTATTATTACCGTGGATGAAAAGGACAGTGAAGTATTTAAAAATTTAGCTAGATGCAAATCTGAAAATAACGTTCGATCATGAAAATAATTATGTAGGACGTCAAACTGGTGCTAAAATATTAAAACTTTTTGTAGCATTGCTTATCATGCTTGAAATTCCCACGTAATTTTTTTGTCCAACAAAAATAGTTTCAGATATCTAGTTAAATTTTCAGACACTTCAGCAAAACCGTTCTTGTTGTGTACGACTTATGAATAAATCATTCTCTCTTTTCAGTATTTACGATTTCAAGTACACGAAGAATAATTCCCATCGAAATATATTAAGATCATTAAGCCGCAGACTCAAGCACTAGAATTGAGTGGATAAAATCGGAAGCTGTTCAACTTAAAATGTGAATTATATTCATGCCACTTTAATAGAAATCGCGATGCTTATAGACTTTTCGACCATCCAAGTTTTGTAAGTCAAAACTCGGCGATACTGTGTCGACAAAACGCACAACTTCCGTAATTTGCCAGTTAACTCGAAACTTTCCAGGCACATTCTATGCGCCATACTAACAAGTTTCCTTCCAGTCGAATCTTCTTGAGTTTTATCTACAAGACAGTCGTAACATGTGAGGTACGTTAAACGCTTCTTTTCAGCAATAAACTTATCGTCCATATTATCGTACTATTAGGAATCCTCTTTGGCGAAAATTGAATTAGACGTTTATTTTCGTAACTTGTTAATTATCGGTGTTACAGAAATTAAATAAATTAGTCTCGCATGTTAAAATAAAGTTAACTTGAAGTTCAACACAGACCTAAGCTTTACTAGATGTATCTGCAAGGTTTAATTCATAAGTAGCTCTTGAATTATATATTATAGTCGAATACGAAAAAATTTTGACAGCACACGGATGAAATTAATTCATCTCGCGCGATTATATTAGGTCTGTTCGCGTTGCCATGAAATCCCCAAATATCTTTGCACTTAGACATATATTTGGCTTTGAAAAGAGAGAAAGCGAAGATGCCAAGTGCAAAAAGTGCGAACAAGATTCAACGCGAACAGACTTATTAAAACCGTTTCGAAATATGCCGATCGTACATCCCCCCCCCCCCCCGGACTCCAATTCTGTAATTTTTAACGACGGTGCCAATATATTATACTGTGGTTGCGCAGATATTATACGTAGTAAAAAATCGCGTAACGACAATATAATCGTATATAACGACAATGTAACAATGCCGTCGTATATAATGACAATGAAACAATGCCGAACTGTGTAGAGATCTATATTTATAAGAGAACAGTGCAAAAGTCTACCATGTAGAATCTAATACTATAAACACTGGTTGTGAGAGAAAAATGTACTAAATTTTAATACTTGTTTGAATAGTGTCGGGGGAATATTTACTAAATGTAAACATACATTTTTACGGTACAAGAATTATTAATTTAATTTAACTGTTATTATTTTTTATTTAGCAAATATTTATTTTCCAAAAATAAATGTTATATTACTACTATTCAAACAGTTATTTATTAAAGTTTAGTACATTTTTCTCTCAACGTATCATAAGTGCTTATTGGATCAATTAGATCCAAGATGGCGGTTAAAAAAGTCAATATGTTAAATTTTGTAGAGTCAAATTAACTTAATGTGAGTTACCTCCTACTCGATAATATCATTATTTTTTTACTAAAACGATGGTCAATTTAACATTATATATTGTCAAATTTAATTATCATTTTAGTTAAAAATAACGATATATTTAGTAGGAGCAGTGGTGACTCACATTGAGTTAATTTGACCCTATAAAATTTAACAGTGTACATATTCAGCCAATGGAAAGACGCGTATTGTCAACATTTGCTTAGATAAAAGAAATACGCTACTCTTATTAATATAGATGTATGGACTGTCGTTAGAAGTTATAAAATCGAGGTATTGGTATGCTCTCCACCGTTTCGAACCTCAGGCGACAATAGTCAACGCGTTACTTCTTATCCCCGCGAGATTCGCGCTTCTGAATTGAATTACTCTCGATGGACCTTGACCACCTCGAGATTGAAATTCAAAGTTGGATTTTCGGTAGCTACCATCAGATCGCCGTCAGATGATCCCTGCTAGCGAATGTATAAAATAATCAATGGCCTCTCTGGAATTCACGCAGTCCCTTTTTGGGATCGCGTAAACTCCGGAATCATATAAACTCCCTGAAAATTCAAGTAATTCTGCTGTCTCCTGTCGTCACGAGAGAATTTACAACAACGCGTGAAATGTTCGAATAAATCAAATTATCGTAAAAAAACCTATTTAGTTCGTGCTTTTGCCTCAACTATTTTTTAACCAACCCTTTGATATAATGTCTTGTCTGCAGAAATTTATGTTTGTAAAAAATTTTACTGTGAAAGATATTGAACAATAAAACGGTGTTATACTAGGTGTCCCTAAATTTGCGAATCAAAATACTATAACAAGAAAGTTCTCGGAAAGTTAAGGAAAAAAAGTTATTTCTACATTTTTATTTTAAGTAGTAATTTTTAAGATAATTATATTGGTCAAATTTAATATAATCAATTGCAGACTGCGTTTAGATAGCCACTTGTCTATGAGTCGTGTGATAGTGTTAATGAACGTTGAATTTATATTTTAGCGCGTTCATTAATATTTTTCATTTTCCAGTTAATTTAGATTTATTATAACTTGATAATAATGTAAAAACTTTTGTAGCTATGATTGATTTCTAAACTGATGATTTTGTAATGAATAATAGTAACTTTTAAAGTTACTATTTCAAAATCATCAGTTTAATGATTAATCATAGAAAAATACAATTTTTACATTATTATCAGGCTAAGTAAGATTAAATTTAAATTACAAATTAATCAAAAAATGAAATATCGGACTTAATACTCACAAGTGACCGTTTAAACTGTAATATTGGCCATACTAAACTCTCATATCTCAAAAACTACTGCTTAAAATAAAAATTTCATAAATAATTTTTTTACTTAATTTTTCAAGAATTTTCTTGCTATAGTGTTTTGATTCACAAATTTCAGGACACCCTGTATATTCCAGAAAATCGCTTCAATGCAAAACTAGCGATAAACGAACGAGAAAAAAAAGATGAAAAAGTCCTGGGTAGAACTGGACAAGACCGATTTCACTCGAATGCTCTCAGTTCGAGCGAAATGTCAGCGCTTGACTTTTCTTACGAGCGGAAACATCGCGAGTGGTGAATTCTTTTGGTCGACTCACAAGCACGGGAAAACAATTTCTGTGTCTCGATTTATCAAATTAATCCCTTTTCAATCTCCATCAAGAAGAAACTTAGATCGAAAGCAAAATCCGTGTTGCTGAGAGTAGCTTTTATCAACAACGGCACTCTTGCGATCATGAGCGATCTGCGAGTATCGCATCATGGGTGCGACCTTTTCAATTTGTATTCTAACCTTTACGAGAAGCGCTATACACGTCGTCTGTGTGCTCAGGATGTAAAACAACGTTAAAACATAGACACACCGAGCGTATAACGCACGGTCGAGCTATAAATAGACGTTCCCATATAAAACGGCGGACTATCAAAGTTACGTTAAGAGACAATGAGTTTCTTTACGATGTTCCTATGGAAAATTAATTGCGCAAAATTTATAATTATCGGTTGTTCTAATTTCTATCATTTTTATCTGGATATGGAAGCTCCGATCCTAAGTTAATTGTGTTTTGTTTGAGTGTCGTGACTGATTATCTGATACGTTCTGTTTTATCGTATCGCTATTGCCTTTAGTGAGCATTAAAATATAAATTCGTCTATAAAATTAATAACAATTAAACTCGATCATTTCGAATTTTTTTTCAATCAATTTCACTGGTCCACTAAATATTATTTTTAAAAGTTTTAAATATAAACTTTTTAATAAAAAATACATACATATGTGTATATATTTATTTCGAAAGACGATTAATGATTCTTCGATAAAATGTTAAAATGTTGATTAACTATTAAATCGTTAATATACAATCATTAAAATATAATGAATATTTTGAACATTTAAAATTTATTTAGTAATCGCTAAAAGCATTAAAAAATAATTAGTATTTATAAAATTTATATGCAATTATTAATATATATATGCTGGAAAGTTATTAATGATGGTTGCAATTATTTCATTTAATTTTATTTTGCCTTTTTGTTTCCGATTTATTTGACGATGCAATAATATTTATATAAAATAATACAAAAAATATTCGCATGATATAACTTTTGTACTTTTTGTTGAAAAAATCTATTTCCATTCTCCTTGTTACCTCTTTAAAAATCAGATAAAATCGTATACAGTTCATGTTGACTATTCTTTTTTCAACAAACAGTTCTCAAGTAGTAGACAAATTATTTTACAAACCTAACGTAATATCTCAATTGTATTAAGAAACTTATTCAAGATTCCATAATAATTATACTGTTTCGTATAGCATTACATATAAATGTATATTGCAATTGCGATATCTACAATCTCATGATCGTCGTACTAACGTCGACAGAAATGAAATTCGTGGTGCGTTTTCATCGAAAACGGAATCGAAACGACGAAACGGGGCGGAAATGAAAAAATCGGAAGCGCGATACGTAAGAAAGAAATGAAACAAACCTTGCTTAATGACGATGCCGGTGGTGGG